AAGATTAGGAGATCCTTTTTTCTTCCCACAGTGGGGACATCTCAGTGTTGCATCTCAAGTTGCAGAACAGTAGGAATGAGGATCACAAAGTTAACAATAACTGAATAACTAGATTTTAACCCTAAAATCTCTAACTTTAATGGCTCCAATGCATACATGCTAAAACTGGATAATACACAATAAGTACAGCAAAATTAAATGCTAACTGCTGCATGTGAACATTGTGTTGCTATGGTAACTGTCTTGGTGCAAGTGCTAGACCAGTCTAGACTCTAGACCATACTAAGATCTAGGATTATTTCAGAAACATAATTATGTTGGTAAAAACTACACAGAAAGAGAAAAACAAAAACACATACACAAATAAAAAAACGTCAAGTGGCCTGCTCTTGGAGTTCTGGTCTTAAACAAATGCTACTTTTTGTGTGTGTTTTGGTCTGAATTTAAAAGGAAAACCATTTACTTCACAAGTTAATGTATTCTTTTATAGCCCTATATCACCACAGTAGTTTTGTCGGAGGACATTACAAAACAGTTCGCCAACACAGATCAGAGAATCAACTTAAAGTAGGAATATATAATCGGGCGGCACGGTGGCTGAGTGGATAGCACTCTCAGCAAGAAGGTCCTGGGTTCGAATCCCGGTTGGACCAGGGCCTTTCTGAGTGGAGTTTGCATGTTCTCCCGGTGTCTGCGTAGGTTTCCTCCGGGTGCTCCGGTTTCCCTTACCACTAAAAATATGTACAATAGGTCTGGCATATGCCTCCTGTACTGGCACCCCAAGGCAAGGCAAGGCAAGGCAAGGCAAGTTTATTTGTATAGCACAATTCATACACAAGGCAACTCAAAGTGCTGAACAAGAAAGCATTAAAATCATAAATAATCACAGAACATTAAAATGGCCCAAGTCCCAAAAATAACAATTGTAAACCGCTTTGACACTCCGATGTGCAGTGAAAAGGCGGTATATACAGTAAATAAAGATTACTACTACTACTACCATTATCGGGGGGCCTTGGCGATCTTTCAGCAGATTTTTTGGTAAGTTGGGCCATGATGCTCCAGAGGTTACAGTATAATAACCATAAGTTAATAAACATAAAAGCCGGGGTACCTAATTTCCAAAACCCCAAAATGAAACTGAAATACAATTGATCTCTCTATATTCTCACTCTCAACTGTTTGGTTCCATCACTACTCTCCACATGCATATATTTGGCCTTTGTCACATTTGCAGCTCTTGCACAAAGAATAGTGGTAAAATAGAAACTAGATGAGCACTCTTACGCAATCAAATCAGCCAATTTATTAATGTATTTCATACGGACAATACACTTTAATGAACATCAGCTCTCAGCCCTAGTGGCTCAGAGTGCTCCTTCTTACGAGCACAAAAAAATCATTGTTAGTAATAATTTAAGCAGAAAGACAGCACAATGTGGTCTGATTTGTTCACAAACTTTAACAAGGCTCTATTGGAGCATGCATTAAGTATTTGAGATTTATTTGTTTGTATATGAAACAGGAAAATACTTATCTCAGCTTTAAGAGACATAAAAAACTTAACTGGTCTCACAATGGAGAAATGAACATATCATAATGGCATGACTATGATCACTCTGGCTGTGAAAAGGACAGGAAATGTGTAAAGATGTATCTCTTTACCCAACATATGGTGCCACCTCTTACGAAGGCAGAAGTCTGCCACCCAAAGGTATATGCGACAGTGGCTCAGTTAGTGGAGCATTGGCCTTTGAGCCCAAAGGTCGTGGGTTCGAGCCCACCACAAGACCGTCTCCACCGACTCCCACGGATGTCTGCTGTCGTTGTGTCCTTGGGCAAGACACTTAACCCACTTTGCTTATGAGGAGCGCGAAAGTGATGTTTGCTGCTTGCCTTGATGTGTATGTGTGTATGTGTATGCATCAAACTGACATTTTCCCATTGTGGAACGAATAAAAGACCTTCCTCTAATTAAGCAGCACAAGGTTTTTAAAAGGGTTAGGGTTATCATGTTAACCATGTGTTATTGTGTTTGTGCTGTGTGCTAAACATGCATTCTCCAACAATATGGTACACTGTATCCATATGTACTGTACTTTAAAACATGAATTATTCATCAAGAGAGAAGACATGGTACTCCTATATAGTCCCAGAGTAGCCTGATCCTGATGGCACTCTGTCCCGCATGTGCCTAGTGCATTACAGCAGTCAAAAAGACAAGTGAGCGCAGCTATTGGGAGAGTTTTTTTGGCTACACTAAATCCTAATCCTATTTCACAGTGCGATGAAGCTGTGCCAAAATAATCACTTGATGGGAGTTGAAAGTGATTACCAGTGTTCACCGTTATCTCCAATGAGTGCAGAGAATACGCTCCAACAAAACAACAGCAGCAGCAGCAGCAGCAGCACTAGCAGCAGCAGTAGCAGCAGTAGTAGTAGCCCGTGTCTGATGATGGGCCAAAAGAGAGGCACAAGCAGACTGGGGGTGAGAGAGGCTGGGGGACACAAACTGGAAAAGCCACTAATGCTTCTACTCAAAGCCAAAGTGAGTATGTCAGACACAAAAGATGCATACAGTGTAAGTCGATTCGCATGGATAAGTAATTAGAACAGTGGTCCATCCTCTTCTATGTGGCCTGAATATTTTACAAACACCATGCTGGATGCTGTTTGCTATGCTCAAGGTTGACTTTTCATTCAGTTTCTTTAGAAGCACAACAAGAAACAAGAAACAAGAAACGAGAATTTTAGAATATTTGGTTGTTGTGAAGATCACCAAAAATACACTACATAGTTGTTAGATTTACTTTTGTTTTCTTTCCATTAGAAATTCAATATTCTAAAGTAGGCCACAACCAACATGAACCACCAGCATCAATATTATAGAAGTTATCTTAGACACTTTTTAGACGTCCATTTTATTAGGAATTCTTGACCAAACATGCATGAACGGTTAAAGAACAATATTGTTCGAGGAGATAAGGCTAGCACCATCAGTATCCTCTTTTAAATCACTTCTTAAAACCCAGTTTTATCAAACAGCTTTTAATTGTCAGCTTTAAACTTATAATGTAGTATTTTACGGTCTGTCCTGTCTTTGTTTTGTCTTCTTGAGTTTCCTCGATTTGTCTTGTCCTCTTGTATTCTCTCTTATTGTTTTAACTTTGTATTATGACTGATTTATTGTTTCTTATGCTGACTGTGCAGCACTTTGTAAACATTGTTTTTGAAAAGTGATTTACAAATGAAGATCTATTATTATTATTATTATGACACAATTTCACAAAAGATGTGTGAAGGTATACATCTTATTGCTTGCTAATCAATACAAACGGTTCTATGGAGTCTAAAAATGCTTTCGATGCATCCATGCACAGTACATAGATAGACTGTGACAAAGCCATGTTTAGCTCATAGTTATAACATCCTTTGCCTACGTAGTCTCCTTGCGCTACTACCCATTGTGATTACGTTTTGTTTGGAAGCATAGAACGGCTGCGGTAGGACTACGGGTTGAACATGGACGAGGCCCTTCAGAGCAGATTGCTTCGGTGCTTCGAAAGGTACCGAAGGAAACGCATTTTGGGCAAATTTTTCACGAGCTTGATATTCGAGGAGGCTGTGGAGTTTTGGTTGCATATCTCACTGAACATTTCTATACTTTGCAGTAGTTTCTTTTGCACTGTTCCTGTCTTTGTACTTGCCTCTTATTTTGCTGAATGTAAAATGTTATACTAATTTATTATTATTATGTTCAAGATAGAGATTTTATACTAGTTATTTGAGGCTAAAGTTAGTTATTTTAGTTATTATAGCTATTGTTCATTTATCTTTTGCTGTGTGCTCCTCGTTCCTACTGTTCTGTCACATGCGATGCAACACTGAAATTTCCCCGCTGTGAGACTAATAAAGGTTCTTTTCATCTTAATCTTTGTTTGAATTTGCACGTGTACATAACTTATTGCGTCTGCACCGTGTTGCATTAATTCTGCACTTGTAAATGGTTCATGTTTGGTCTCAGACATTCATCACTTATTGTTTTGCTTGTTTGAGCACGAATACAATTAAATAATAACCATCTGTTTCCAACTGATTCTCTATTCACAGCATCACGGTTAAAATGAGTTATGAAACGATGAGTCATCGATCTTAAACAGCGTAGTTGTTTTTGTTTGTGTTCTGAAGAGGAGAAAGTAACTAGCGGGACTTTAGAATGGGATCCATTTGGCGTCCGAGGCAATTCCTGCGAGATCGCCATCATGTGGATGGGGTGTGGGATTACAACAATATCTTCAAAACTACGCACAAGTATACGAACAACTGCGGTTGCGTAATCAACCACGGGTCCAGCGCAAACACCAACACACACAGTGATGCCGGCAAAGTTTTATTCTCTGTGATAATCAGACTTTTCTCCCAGACTTTTTTTCTGGGACTTGGGAGCTGCCATGAGGCCAAACTTCTGCAGGAGCTGCTTTGAACCTGACAGACCTGGCTCAAACCTTCTGCCAATAAAAGCTCATTCAACAAACGCAACCTGTGTCTCTCATTGTCTCATGTCTGGAGAAACAATCCACATTTGCTAAGGTCTATTTATTGCCCAGGGTTTTCTTTCAAAATCAGTTTAAGTTAGGATCAGGATATGGGTAAGAAAAAATGCATTTGGTAACGGTGGCAGGGCTAGGCAGAAAATGTAATCACTGTCACACAATAATAGTCAAAATGTACACAAAAAACCTATATATTCTCCCATGATGTCAGTATTGTATTACAACCTTTTCTATCATTACATGATATATCAATATTTTGGCACACCCACAGCAGTTTTGCCATTGAATTTATCATCAACCAATGTGGGACAAATTGATTTTATTTCCTAGCTTGTAGCACACAACGAATGAAGAATACATCCTGATCTTGTGATGTTTGAGTGTGTGTGACAGCTGCGTAGGTGAAGTGTGAGTCTTTCTCTCTCTTCAAGCCTCTCTTCTGCTCACCTGATTGTTGGACATGACATATAGAGAGCTCCGGTCCAATGAGAAGGCCATGTCCCGCAGGATCGGGCCGCCTTCCTTCATCACGGTCATTGTCTCGTACAGGACGCCCTGCTCCCGAGGACCGTCCACACGAATCTGCACACACAACAGGAGACACACACTCAATACAAGACACAATGTGCACTGGAAGTTTCATGACAATGGCATGGCCTGGTCAGGAACATACGTACAGTCATCTACTCAATTATACAGGGGTAAAAATTTACAAAATTTACAAAAAAAACAGCACTCAGAGGTTCTGTATAAAGGGCTGTAAAAGGTGCATTATAAATAAAATGTGTTATTATTATCACAAACAGGTCAGACAAAAACATCCTCATGGAGAAAAAAATATTTGAGTCGTAACTTCAAAGCACGATTATCTTAAAAGTGTATTAATTTAATTTAATCTGGTATATTTTTAAACATAATCCCGAACAGTCACACAAACAAAAACAAATTTAAATTCCATCCACACGTCCAAACGGGAGCAGGAGGAAGCTTATATGCGCTCATCTACCACTCATTTACAGATTATATTATTTATGTGGAATAGAAATGGAGATTATTAGAGATTTTATACTTGCTTTTGTAGTAGGCTAAAGTAAGAGTTTGTATTTGATGTTCACTTATCTTGTTCTGTGCGCTCACCATTCATACTGTTCTCAAAACTGGTGATGCAACATATTTCCCCACAGTGGGAAAAAAAAGTATATCTTGCTCTTAACAATTGTAAAAAAAAAAAAAAAAAAAAAAAACAAATGAAATCTATTATTTTTTCTTTTACATTACATTATTTTTCAATAAACATAATACAAATTAAAATTCAGCAGTTTTATATAGCCTTTTTTAGGAAACTTTAAGACGCCTAACATACTGTAGCATTATACTATAGCAGAGGTCAAATTTACATCTAATAAGCTTATCATCCATATTCTGCTCACCGCAAAAAGTGGTAAAAAAAATAAGTCAATAATCGCTCAAATTTGGCAAAATGTCCATCCATCCATTTTCTACCCCTTAATCCATTTCTGGGTCGGGAGGGTGGCATCTCTGGCCACCCTCCCGTACAAATAGTACCAGCCCCTCACTGATGGCCGCTCTATGGCATGGCCTTGATCTTTCAGTGAGGGCTTCTGGCAAAGTGGGGTTAAGTGTCTCATGGTGGGCTCGAATCCACGACCTTCAGCCTCAAAGGCCAATGCTCTACCAACTGAGCTACTGTCTCTTCCTGGCAAAATGTATAACAATTTAATTGCAGAATAAAAAATGATGTATTTGTTTTGTTTGTATGGAATTGTACTAAAGTATCTATCTATGTAAGTAGCTATCTATGTGTGGAATGTATTTTTTACATTTACAGCATTTGTGGGGTTAGTCATTCCTCAGTCTATTTGACAGTTATAGCTATGACCCACATCTACCCTACAGACATGACATGTTTTATTTTTTTAACAATGTCTGGTGAATTTAGCTGCTTTCGACAGAGCAATGACTTAAGGCATCCGACTCTCGAGATCCATAACGTCAAGTGCAACCCCAGCCCATGATTATAAATGCATCTGCTATTGAGTCCTCACATAGAAGTCTTTGTCTTGTAGTTTTATATTAATGAATACTATGCTTCAAAATACAGGAACAATAAGTAATAGTTTCTCATAAATATTTAACTGTATGTACTTAAATATTACCGTGGGAAGATATATCTGTAATTTGGCCATAGAAGGACAACATTGAGTAGAAGCAAATCACGATAAAAAAGTATTGTTTGTCATTGTTTGTCAATCAAGTTCCAATCCCCTTTTTGAGCTTTGAAAGGAGTGAAAAAAACAGTGAGGAAACGTATTAATGTATGTACGTATATATTTTGTAATTGCTGTGAATTATATTATTCATTCCTATTTTTAGGCTTGAAATAAATCCATCCATCAATTTTCTTCCGCTTCATCCGTTGTGAGTCGTGGGGAAAGCAGTCTAAGCAGAGACGCCCAGACTTCGCGATCCACACACACTAAATGAATAAATTAATCCAAAAAAACAAACAAAAAATGTATTGTTTATATTCAACCCAGGTTTACGGGCCGTAGTAGACCAAAGAAATGATTGGTTGGCCAAAGACTTCACCGGTCGATTAATTGGTCGACTAAAAGTGGCGTTAAATAGTTCTCAAAAACGATTATTTATGAAAGTTGTTGAATGACTTTCTACCAGTGAATAACTCTACAAAACTTTAACGGTAATATTAAACAAGTGAAAAAAGTGTTTTCCTTCTTTAAAGCAAAAGTAAATATCAAATTGTCAGCAAATATAATACATACTTTGGTTGCCTCAGATGCCATAGCCCTCTTAATGGACAAAACAACTGACCTAAAAATGACCAACAATGAACCCACTGTATGTCTGCATCAGGAGAGGTCAAGATTAAGCGGTTGAGCAATAATTACTACAAAAATAGTAATGCATACTACTCAAGACGCTTCACACAGCGATAACCATACGATCATTCACGGTATCTTCAATAGAGCATATACATTGTAGGTCACCTTTTAGGAAGCAGAAATAAGTCATGTTAGAGGTCAAAAAGACAAAAAAGACAGCGCAGTGCCAGTAATGGGGGAGAGGTGTTGGGTCAGAGAGTGTTTTGGCCCGTGTCATGGCTGAGTTTAGTGTGTTGTGTTGAATGAGTGAGAGGGGCTGGAGCCACATAAACGGTCTCTCTTTGCAAGTCTGTCATAAATAAGTTCCACATTGTAAATTGGATTACAGAATTTCAACACATTTTTAACCACATTCTTACTGTCCGAGTTCCGCCTGTATTAGATAAGGGGACATTAATAAAACATGTTGTTATTTCCCAGTGATCCGGCATCACAACTGAAAAACACAAAGACATTTCAATGAACTTGCGGGAAAGCCTTGCTCTGCCATTGGCGCTGGATTGATGTGTATTGCCTCATTCATTGACAGCAGAGAATCCTGACACATGAAACGCCCGTCATGAAAGCGCAATGAGCTGAAAACCTGAATAAAGTATGAAGTAGGAAAGTCCTTCCTCGCGATGCAGACCCAGGATGAATCTTAAATTGTGGAAGATTGGATCATTAGCAGTGTGATGCAATTAAGCAGAATAATCTTAGACATAATTACAGAAGTGAGAGCAGAATAATAAGGATGTGTATGAGTATGCAGGTCTTGTCTATATGGACATCATTGCCATCGCAATTAAATCAGACTATTCAATCTAAAAGGCATTAAAAATAAATTGCGTAATTGACCCAGTTGGTGTGGGGTTATCGTCAGAGATCCTTGCCTTGACTTTCATTCATATACCATCTTAAAGCTTTGAAATTACAAGAAATACACTATAATAAATATCCATGTAAAAGTTCCTCATTCTCAAAACTGTTTGGTTCTCACTAGTATTCACATTCATGTATTTTTGGCCTCACTCACTAAAAGAGAGATCCACTCCCACTCAACCAATCAGCTCTCAGTATTTATAAATTGCAATGTTTTATAATAATATTAACCCTCCACTTTGTTGTCTGATTAGCTCAAAAAATGTTACTTAGACAAGACCATTACTGTTGAGATAAACAAAATGTATTCAATGTATCCAAAAGAGGTTAGGTAATCCAGGTTTGTCTGAAACTTATATATATACACAGGGGGGAAAAAAGTATTTAGTCAGCCACCGATTGTGCAAGTTCTCCCACTTAAAATAATGACAGAGGTCTGTAATTTTCATCATAGGTACACTTCAACTGTGAGAGACAGAATGTGAAAAAAAAATCTTTAAAAAATTAAAGGATTTATTTATAAATTATGGTGGAAAATACGTATTTGGTCACTTCAAACAAGGAAGATCTCTGGCTCTCACAGACCTGTAACTTCTTCTTTAAGTAACTTCTTAAAGACCTGTAACTTCTTCTTTTCTGTCCTCCACTTTTTACCTGTATTAATGGCACCTGTTTGAACTCCTTATCTGTATAAAAGACACCTGTCCACAGCCTCAAACAGTCAGACTCCAAACCACTGACATAAAAAACCACTGATAATCTCCCTTGATCTGGGGCTCCACGCAAGATCTCATCCCGTGGGGTCAAAATGATCATGAGAACAGTGATCAAAAATCCCAGAACCACACGGGGGGACCTATTCACTATAGTGAATGACCTCCAGAGAGCTGGGACCAAACATGTTCCCCTGCTGAAGCCAGTGCATGTCCAGGCCCGTCTGAAGTTTCCCAGAGAGCACATGGATGATACAGCAGAGGATTGGGAGAAGGTCATGTGATCAGATGAAACCAAAGTAGAACTGTTTGGTATAAACTCAACTCGTCGTGTTTGGAGGAAGAAGAATACTGAGTTGCATCCCAAGAACACCATACCTATTGTGAAGCATGGGGGTGGAAACTTCATGCTTTGGGGCTGTCTTTCTGCTAAGGGGACAGGACGACTGATCCGTGTTAAGGAAAGAATGAATGGGGCCATGTATCGTGATATTTTGAGCCAAACTCCTTCCCTCAGTGAGAGCTTTGAAGATGAAACGTGGCTGGGTCTTCCAGCATGACAATGATCCCAAACACACCGCCCGGGCGACGAAGGAGTGGCTCCGTAAGAAGCATTTGAAAGTCCTTAAGTGGCCTTGCCAGTCTCCAGACCTCAAACCCATTGAAAATCTGTGGAGGGAGTTGAAAGTCCGTGTTGCTCGGCGACAGCCCCAAAACATCACTGCTCTCGAGAAGATCTGCATGGAGGAATGGGCCAAAATACCAGCTACTGTGTGTGCAAACCTGGTAAAGACCTATAGTAATCGTTTGACCTCTGTTATTGCCAACAAAGGTTATATTACAAAGTATTGAGTTGAATTTTTGTTATTGACCAAATACTTATTTTCCACCATAATTTACAAATAAATTCTTTAAAAATCCTACAATGTGACTTCCTGGATTTTTTTCACATTCTGTCTCTCACAGTTGAAGTGTACCTATGATGAAAATTACAGACCTCTGTCATTATTTTAAGTGGGAGAACTTGCACAATCGCTGGCTGACTAAATACTTTTTTGCCCCACTGATTATATATTTATTAATT